CTTGATGATGGGCGTAAAACTAGTAAGTGAGGAAGCTGGAGTCCGAAACCAGGTCTAACTCCGAAGCCTATGTTTTCCCACTAGAACTCTCTGCCTCCCTGCTGAAGGGAAATAAAGTCGAAACAACCCTGAGATGGTTAGCCTGGGTACAGGAATACCTGGTGACAGTGGGCAGTGGTCAGGGACCGGGAAAGGGGGAACCTTCCGTAGAGGAAGACTTCCAGGTTTTTGCTTTTGTTTTGTTTATCAGTCTCCAAATTTTAAAAAATGTGTAGGTAGGTGGGGTGATACCCACTTGGGAAGGGCCTATAGACAGCTGGAAATCCATGGGGAGAGAGGAGGAGGACAGAGATAGACGCATATTGAGAAGTCATCTGCGGACAGGTGGCTGGTGTCTAAATGGAAAGACAGACAAGCTCCGCTAGAAGGTAAGTGCTGGAGTCAAACACTAGGGCAAACAGATTGTGTTGGGAATCCCACAGCTAATGGCAGTGGGGCTGGGGAAAAGCAAGGAGCTGCAGGGCCCACCCACGTGCACAGATGGTCACACCTACACATGGCCACTGGGCGTGGGTTCCTCCCAGTGCCAGCTGAGATAATCCCCCTTCAGATCTGTTCTTGAAACTTTCTCATTTCTCAAGGTTTAACTCAAATTTCCACATCCCCTCTTAGAATTTGCACTGTTCAACTCTGTAGCTCCCATATCATGTTTGGCACATAATAGGTGCTAAATGAGTAATAATTTTTCAGGTGGAGCTGAACAATTAAAGAGAAATAAACTATATGGAGATGGTAGTTAATTATTTTTTTCTGAGCCATGTCTTCTTCATTTTATAAGATGAATAATTATTGTTAGGATTACACGAGATATGTACGTTAGGCATTCAGTACAGTGCCTGGAACGTGGTTGTGCATTCTTACTATTAGTTGGCAGCAATGAACATAACAGGAGCTTAGGGTGAAGGATTTCAGGAAAGAAGGGATGCTCAACAGCTCCAAGGCCCTTTGTGTGTCACAATCTGTTTCTTTTCCCTCTCTCATATACACACGTACACACCCATGGAGAGGGATGTTAAGCAAAACAGAAAACTCTTCTGCTGATATCCGCTGGCTTTTCCCCCCTCATATAAGGAGGAGCCGCTTTCCCTTAAGATAAGGAGTAAGCTAAATCTGGTCCTAAAGTGCATAATTGAAATGACCTTCATGGCTGGTTGCATGATTTTAACATCAAAATTGTTGGGGATTTGATTCCAGCTAGATAACAGCTGTATGTTTTGGTTTCTGTTGGATTCTCTAAGTGAAAGTGTATCTACCCCACAGTTTGGCAGCTGCTTTGGGAGGGAAATATGGTACCCAAGAGTCCTAGAATCAGCAGGCATCATGCTGTCGAGCCTATTGCAGACAGAATCACCACTCCCTGACACAAAACCTCTTCTGTGATAAAACAAAGCCGCTGTGTGGCAGGCCTCCCCAGCAGTGAATTCCCTCTCCTTCCTGAGACCTGAGGAGGGATGAGGACATGGAACAAAGACCTGGCATCTGGAGCACAATCGTGGGGAAAGGGCCCAGGATTTTCAATGACGGATAGTTCTCTTTCACCACAGCATCTCCCTCCTGGTCAGCCACTTTCTCCTCACCTTTGAGCCTGAGTGTGCATCCAAGGCTTTGAGTTTAGCCACTAGATTGAGGACTCCAAGACCCCAGCCTACTATCAGGAGCTGTGGCGTGGTTTCCCCTAGGTCTCAGCTTCTCTGGAAGCCAGGCCCATGGGACCTTGCAGCCTGTCCCTCTCTGCCCTCCTGGTTCAGTCCTCAGATCACAGAGAAGCCCAAACTCTCAGGCTCTGCTCTCGGCCCCTGACTCCCCTCCCCCACCCACCCACCCCTTTTCAGGGCATAAGGGACCTTTTCTATTTGCAGAGCCTAAAGAAGCCCGTTGCCAAGGTGACAGGAGCAAGAACAGCAGGGAGCTTGCCATGGGGGAGGGGCTTTGCCCCCAAACAGCTGTCAGTGGGAGCAGTCCCAGCTGGGACTAGAGCAGTCTGCCTGCTCTGGGAGGAAACAGCCCCCAGGAGGACACATTCCTCTCTGCTCTCCTCCATCCTCTCCCCCTCCATCCACAAGTCTCCACTGGTTACTCTCCCTGGGGGCAACCAGCCAGCCAGCTCGAAAAATGCTCCAATAACAAACAAAAAACCTGCCACTCCACTCCCCCACCCTCTCTCCCCACCTCCACACACATACACACACACACACACACACACACACATGCATACACATGCGCACACGCTGATCCCTCAGCACACTCACAGTGGCTGGGCAGAAGGCCAGAAGTTACCTCTGCCTGGGGAACTGGGCAGGTGCTGCTCCAGGCTGCTCCCCAGCAGGTCAAGATTATTTCAGTCTTTTTTTTTTGTTCTAGAGGCTCGGAGAGGATCAGCAGCATCTGAAACTCTCTGCTGCCTTCCATGTGGGCAGTGGGGGTGGGGTGTGGAACCACTGAGAAGGGGTGGGAAAGGAAAGGAAGAATAGGAGGGGGCAGCGGGAGGCAGGAACAATGCAAAGCCCACTGATTTGAGTCACTGGGAAGAGGGTCTTTGTGGTCTGCAGCTCACAGCTGCTCCGTAGAAAGTTTGGGGGACCACTGGTTTCTGTACCACCTATAGCCACAGACTGTAAGTCCCAGGAGACATGTGGGGCCCTGGATCTCAGTCTGTAACTCACTGGCCTTCACCTTAACCAGGCTCAAGAGAAGAGAGCCCTCTACTAGACTCTATAAAACCTGGAACAATCTTAAAACTGGCAGGCTCTTTGAGCTTTGGGTCAGGAATAAGAAAGGCCTAGGAAGCCCCAAACTACTGTAAGAACTGAAAGAGGCAAGCACGGCTTGATGATTAAGAGCACAGGAACTGACTCAGCCAGACGTGGAACTGGTTCCCCGTTCTGCCACGTAATACTTATGTGACCTTGAGTGACACACATAGTAGTTCTCGGGTAACCTCTTTGAGCTTCAGTTTTCTCATCTGTAATGATGGATAAAAACATCTACCTTACAGGGTTCTTCTGAAGGTTACAAGAGGTAGGGTACATAAAAATGCCCAGTATATTATCTAGTGCACAGCAGAGGTTTATCAGGCTGATCTGCTTTCTGTCCAGTTTTCTTGAGGCCCTAAGGTTGCCTACGAGCCCAAGAAAGAAACTTAAAAACTAGTCTTTCTTTGGATGGGTCCTTAGAATCTGGGGGGCTGGCTCAGATCTAGGGAGGGGGTTACATCTTGGCCTGGGAAGAAATGGGGTTCTCAGTAAGTTCTGAAGTCCCGATGCTGCTCTGTGGTTTGTAGATTATGTGAACAGGTAGAAGAAATGCTAATTTGGGGTCCTCACTCTACTCCCGGCAGCTATCAACTCACACTGTAAGACCCCCCAGATTTTCTCCTCTGAGCCTCAGTTTCTCTCTCCATGAAAGGAGAGGCTGGACTAGTCTCTGGAGAGAGCAGTGCCAGACACTGAGAAACAGCTGGAGCCACAGGGCAGTGAGGCCTATGCAGGGCGGTGCCTGTCTCGGCTCGGATTGGCCACTGGAGGCAGAGGCCACCTTCGTCCTCGAAGCCTCAAAAGGGTGAATAAAGGACTTGAAGTCACATTCTCCCCAGCTCACTGTCACAACGCTCCACTTGTGCCTCCCGTGTCTGTCTGGAACTCCTTCCCCTACTTTGTCTGCTGGGGAAATGCTCCTGCTTTAACACCCAGTGCCATTTCCTCGGAAGGACAGCATCTCCGCCCAGTCCTGCCTGGCACTGGGGTGCCCAGCTGGGCCCACACTTACCTCATACTGACTCCTACAATGGAATTTATGCAGCCGAATGGATTTGCTTATATATCTGGCTCCCTCCTTTTGACTGCACACTCCTTTAGGTAAGAAATCACATTTTGACCATCTTTGTTAATCTAGTAACAAGCACAAAGTAGGCTCTCAAGAAAAAAAAAGATGCAGGTTAGACTGGATGGTAAAATGGTCTGAATGAGGAGAGGATTAGTGGTTATTTACGGGATGTGACCAGGGTAACTCTCTCTGTGACGCAAAGTCGCGTGGCCCACCACTGTATTTCTGTGCTGTAACCACAGCGTGGTCTTATTCCTGAGACTGGTAAGTCTGGCTTCTAGGGCTCTTGGCTGATTTTCTCATTAAAGATTGCCTACAACAGGCAGTGCTGGGAGAATTTTAGCAGGCAGGGAAAGAGACTAGCCCCAGGGAACAGTGATTCATCCCCTTCACAGAATTTGCCTCACAAGTCATCTGCTGGATTATTACTTTTTTAATCTGCTAGATTTATTCTCAAGTGTCACCTTCCCTGGCAAGCTTTTCTTGGCTCCTCTCCCCAAGGCTAGATAGTGCCTCCGCGTCCCTCCAGGGCTCAGAGCTCACAAGTATTATAGCGCTTGGCACACCATATCACATTGTACTTGTCTGTCTCTCCAGACCGGATTCTCCTTGGAGGGCAGGGTCCAAGTCTTACTTCTCTCTGTACACCGAGAACTGGCAACATAGTTGGTGAATATTAGTCAACAAATGTCTGTTGAATGATGAGAAAACAAGCTTCCCACTTCCTCATCTCCCTGTGTGGTTCTTACACACTTCTGGCTAGCCCCTGTTCTTTCTGCTGACTCTCAGAAAATTTCAAAATAGTCCAACTGCCAAGCTCCACTCTCAAGGTTAAGTGCTATGATTGTGTGCTCGGAGAATCACATGGTGCCCACTGTAAAGAAGGTCTCATTTATCCTAGCTGATGTGGCTGCCTTCTCTGAAGCTAGATGAGAAGAAGCATAAAACAGAATCTGGAGCTGACAAACATGTCAAGATTGTAAGAGGGAAGACAGAGAGACGCACATATGGCTGACATCTTAGCATGTCCATGGGAAAAAGAAAGTCTGATAGGTTCCCTCTGACCCACAGGCCTTCTGAGTTTTCTGGGGTAGGATTATTCTTCCCGGAGCCCTTACCTGGTGCAATGAGGGGGTGGGTTGCCACAGCAGGCACCATCCGGCTGAGCCCAGCCCGGCCCTCCGAGCTCCCTGGCACACTGCCGTTGCCCTCTACTTTCTTGAGTGGCTCCGTCACACTGTCAGTGGTGCCAGGCTTGGCACCTGCAGGGGAACCCTGAGCAGTGTTTCTGCCCTGTGATGGGGTAGGCAGAGGCTGGCTGCCACCTGGCGTGGGTTTCAGGGCCAAGCTGGGCAGGACGGGCTGAGTGGGGGTAGGGCCCGAGGCTGCTGCAGTTGGTGTCTGCTGTGTTCGGAGGGTCAAGTTCTGAACCTGGAAAAGAGGGGTCTATAAGAGTCCAGAGAATGTGGGCAGAAGCCATGCCAACACACAGTTCAAAGAGGGAAGGAGTTAGGGATGGATCCAGGAATGGGTGAATAGGACAGTGGGTTGTAAAATCAGAAAGAAAGAGAGAGAATGAGATAGGGGCTGAAAGAAGAACCACAAGCAGGTAGAGTTTTTAAAGGAATCAGAAAGAGTGCTAGTGACTGGATTCATCAGCAGAAGAAGTTAAGTTCTGAGCAGGGATGTCTATCCAGGCTGGGGCAGGCTGAGGCAGGCCGTGGCAGGGAGGCCAGGCTCTCTCTCCTTTCTGTTACCTCCCCTCCTCCCCCAAACTATCAGGATGGGGTGCACCCCACTTAGAAAGAATTCCCAGATGCGGCAGGGCCTGGGGTTTCCCACACTGGAAACGGCAGAGGCAAAAGTGAAAGTTAATTGACTAGCAAGATCCTCCAAAGGATTATCCTGTCCTCAGGACAAGGGTTACATACACCATGAAGGGCGTGCTTATTCAACCTGGTCCCTGGTGCCCTCTGCTGGACACTTGGAGGCTGTGCCAGACTCACATCTGACAAATCTGATTGTCTTGTTACCCTGTGGGTCCCCATCCTGAAGCTGAAGACGGTTCCTCTCCCCGCTGCCCACAGAATCTTTACATCCACAGCAATGTCTGTCTGCTCCCAGCAGAAGGTAGGGACCCAGGACCCATATTTTCTCCCTCTTGGTCCCTGCCGTTTTTCCCTTCCTAGAGGTGCTAGCATGTGTCATCAGAGTGGAATTTCCCTCTTAAAAAGCAGCAACAACAGAGCTTCTCCCAGGGAGGGTGTCAGGTAAAGCAGTAGTACGACCACCATGACTTGGCCTCAGTGCGCTGCTGGCTCCCGACCTGTGTTTGGGGCATCAAGCAGAGCCAGGGGTGGCCAAGGACTTCTCAGTGGGGAATTAGGAGCAAGTCTCAGAGCACTGGGTTGTCCTATCTCCCCACTGCTTTCCTAGAGGACCCCAACCTTTCCAGAGATTCAAAGCTCTTCCAGGGCTTAGGACCATACCCAGCATTGGTGCCCCTCTGTGGGGGTGCCCACCCCCCCCCGCCCTCCCACAAGCAAGGACTCCTCACCTGGGCGGGGGTGGGGGGCCGGGCGGGGGAGCCAGTGCCGAGCTCAGGCTGCACAGTAGCGACGGTGGCCGTGGGCGTGAAGATGAGCTGAGGGGACAAAGGAACAGTGCCGCCTAGGCTCCTAGCTACCTGCACCAGGTTACCTGGCTGGGCCTGGAATCACAGGAAACGAGGCGCCTTTTACCTGCCCAATGTGGGCTCAGCCACAGGACAACAGTTTAGCCAGGGAGCAGATGTGGGGACTCAGGGGGCACAAAAGGGGAAGAGTTCAAGGGCATCTCCTGAAAAACCTATTCAAGAGGCTCGTCACGCCTGAGCCCGGCTGGGCAGTGAAGGGGCAGGGGTGGGGGCCGTCCTGGGGCTGCACCTAAGTCAGGTCTACTTCAGAAGCCTCTGTGAGGAGCTCCCCCAGAAGCACAACAACCGCAGGACCCCCTCAAGACCCCCTCTGCAACATCGTGGTCAGCAGGGACCGTGGGCTGAGACAGATGCCCTGGGACCATGTTCTAGATCTAACCTACTCTGGACTCCAGGTCTGGGTCAGAACAGGACTCTCCGCCAGAAGGGATCAAGTTAGATGTACTCTTCTGGCCATTTTTCTGTCAAATTTAGAGTAGGCTGTGAGCATGTGTGTGCGCGCCCGCAGAGACAACAATGCTTGAGGAACAAGAGTGCCCAGAGCGAAACTCAGATCTGCTTCTCCTTCTGTGGGGTGCAGGTGACTGAGGGTCTCTGCGTGACATTCCCTGTGAGTCTAGAGTGGTGTGTATGTGGACACATAGTGTCCAACAGCGTGCTCCTCCAAGCTTGTGTACCCCGCTCTGGGGAGGAGGATGGCCAGCCTGCAGGGCTCCAGATGGGGCCATTGAGCAGACAAGGGGCAGAGTAAACTGAAGACAGAGCAGGCTTGGGCAGTGTCACGGGTGGCCGCCTGGCTCCCTGGAGTGGAAGTCTATTCCACACCGAGGGTCTACAAGGCTGCTCCCTGGGAATGGCGCTGCATCTCAGTGAACTCTGAGTCAAAAATGGAAGTGCTGGAGCTGGACCAGGAAAGCTTCCAGGGTCCATTTCTGGCTGCAGGAGCCAAGGGAGAGGTGGGGGTGTATAGTCCTCAGGATAGTGTGTCGAGGAGCTGAAGGAGAACTCTTCAGACTGGGAGACAGGAGACTGGACTCACAGTGATTGGAGCCCAGGGTAGAGCTAGATGTTCCTGCCTCCTCAGGTGTGTGCTGCGGTTTTCCCAGGACATTCTGCTAAAGATTAGGAACCTCCAGGTTACTATGGACCTCTGTGACCTCTCAAGGGCAGGTGTGAAGGAGGGACTCTGGGCATGCACATCCAGGGCCACTGCCATCCTGACTACATTCAGCCCAAGCAAGCCCCCCTGATGAACGTTGACAGGGTGACCCTGGTGGGAATGGGGACCCAGCTGGACAGCATGTTCTGAAACCGCTGCCACCTTCACCACCTGGGCTGGAACGCACTTCTGGCCCTGAACTAGAGGTGGCCAGTCCCTGCGAGGACTGTCACAGTGGGATAAGACCCCACTTCTGTAGGGTACTTGGACCACCTGGGCACAGGCCCCTGCATTCTCTACCTTAATTAATTTTACGGCATGGTTTCTGATAAGAAGAGGGCAATTCTGTTTCCCTCTAGGAGGGGAAGGAAAGGAGGCATCAGGGGTAACTTTATTTTGACTTGGAGCCCCACCTGTCCTCAAGTCATGGAGCCCATACCAAAGCTCCAGCTCAGCCTTCCAGGCCCCCTTCTTTATGCCAATTGTCCCCCAGCACTTCTCCCCCACCCTTCTCTCAACCCCACTCTTCTCTAATTACCCAGCTCCCCACTTCTCTGCCTCCGTCCTCCCGGCCCACCTGAGCTGTGGCCCAGGCTGGGTACTCACCATCTGTGCTCGCAGATACATCTGTGCTTGGCTTGCGGTCAGGGCGGGAGAAGACGTGTTGCCCAAGAGCACAGCCTGCTGGGCGATGCCCGAGGCTGCGGCTGAGTTGACACTCTGAGCCCGGTTGATGAGCTGGGCTGCAGCTGGGGAGGCTGCCAGGTTGATCTGAGGAGAGAGGCATGTGCAGCAGAGAACAGGAGGCTCTGAGGGCTAACGCTGTGCCCCTTCGTCCGTTCCTCTCTCTCCCCCCTTCCCTTCCTTGGCAGATTCAGACTTCTTTTGCACCGTCTCTGGTCCTTGGGCCCTGGGTCTCCCCCAGCACTGCTGCATCTGGCCTACGTGCAGAGCTGCGGGGAGGATGCAGTGGGGAGAGGACTGAGCTATGAACAGAGAGCCTGACACTGGAAAGATGATGGGGAGTAATTAAAGGGAGTTAGAAATCAGCCTGCACTTTAAAAATTTTTTCCTTGCAAGAGTAATAGATACCGGCCATGATTCTACACAGCTAAGGATTCACCACAGTTGGGTCTGGAAGCATTCTGGACAAGGAGGGTGGGGCTGGTCCTGAAGCTGGGGCCCCTGCCTGCTGCGCTGTGTCCTACTCACCGAGGACGCTGGGGCCGGGGCCTGTGCAGACACGCTGCTTCCTGAGGTGCTCCCCTGTCTGTTGGCCACCAGGCTTGCCTAGGACAGAAGAATTCTTGTCACTGGAGGTGCAGATCTCCTTCAGTCATTTCCCAGGCTCTCACCTTCCACAGGAAGCATGACAGGGTGGTGGTCAGGAGTCAAACCCTTATTCTGTCTCATCTATGTGATCTCAAGCAAGTGTCACAATTTCCTCTTTTATAAAGTGGGGGTAAGAACAGTATTTACCTTGGAGGGCTGCTGAAAGGGTCACACGAGGCAGAGCATTTACACATAAGCACTCAAAGCGTCAGCCATGACTGTGACCTATGCTTCCTGCTCTCTTCGGCCCCCTGCTTCACCCCACTGCTCACGTCAGGCTCACGGGCCTCCACGTGGATAGCTGGGCACATACTGTCTGGAATGTCCAGCCTGCCTCTCCTCTTGGCCAGCTTCCCATCCCTCAAGTGTCGGCTTCCTTTTCCTCCAGCAGACAGGCTCCCCCAACCACCTTGTCTAAAGCAGCCCTCCCTGTCACTCACTCACAGCCGACTGCTCTTCTCTTTCACAGGGCTTATCACAGCCATGATATTTAGATGTGCTGTTTCCTTGTCTATATGAGTTTCTGTTTACTTGCTGTCCACCCACTATAAGCTCCAAGAAGACAGGGTCCACAGTGCACTCAGTGCGGGACATACTCTCTGGCAAACAGCAGGCGCATAACAAATTCTGTTGAATGAATGACTGAGCTCTTCTCAGCCACTAAAGGCAGGCAGCAAGCTGAATGGGTGATGGGCTTCTTCCGTGGACACCTCCCTGGGCCCTCGGTCCCTTCCCTGTAGGCAGTGATGTGTCAAGGCAGGCCGTCCCGGTCCCTCCAGGCCACTTGGGCTGTGAGTTCCAGCCGCTCCACTGGAGAGCTGTGTGGCCTCTGGCAAGGTGCTTAACCTCCCAGAGCCTCTCTCCTCATCTGCAGAAGGACGCTCGTGACGACTGTACCTACTTCACAAGGGCTCTCTGAGGGTCCAGTAAGAACTCATGGGAGCCCGCGTGTAGCGCCTGCCTCTTCTCCCCCTCACCTGGGCGGCATCAGCGGTGTTCCTGTACCTTTGTCTTACCTGCTGCACAGCTGCCAGGCTCTGGAGCTGGGCGCTGCTCAGGTGCTGCTGCTGCAGGGCTGCGGTCTGCAGCATGAGGTGCTGCTGCTGGGCCGCGTACATCTGCTGCAGGTACTGGGCCGCGGTGCTGGGCTGCCTGTGCAGGGCCTGCTGGATCACCTACAGAGGGAGGTGGGGGGACCGGGGGCAAGCTCACTGCAGACCTGCCCCTTCTGCAGCGACGCCACCTGCTCAACCTCCTCTCTCCCCAGCTGCTCAGAGAAGGACCAAGCCTGTGATTCCCATTCTCTAGGGAGTGGAGGAGACCACTGTTTGCAAAGCTTCACACGTTCCTGCCTCGTTTATCTTGCATTTCTCTTTAGCACACACGCTCCCTGCTCCCCCTGGATCCGGACGGCACATGCTGCTCTGACCAACGCCCAGGGCCGTGGGAGCTCGGAAGGCAGAAGTCCTTTAAGCCTCCGGTGACTGGGTCCCAGCCAGTCTTGTTTGTACCCCCTTTCCCTCGGTTCTGCAGCCTTTGATGGGGGTAACTGGACCATGGGGATGATGACAACAAAGGGAAATGAAAATCAACAAGGCTGAGAGGAGGAAAGGGGTGGGAAGAAAGAGACAAGTCTGAAGAAGGGCCTACTCCACCTTTGGCCACACAGCCAGCCAAACTAAAACCTGTTCAAGGGCAACACCCTCCCAGCAGCACCTGCCCATACCTGCTTGAAAGTTCATATTGGTCCCTCAGAAGATGGTTCCCCTGGCCTTGCAGAGCAGGGATGCTGCAGCCACTGGGATGCTGTAACCGCTGGGATGCTGCATTCCTCTTCACTCTTTCCCTCCTTCTCTCCATCGCTCCCTCTTTTGAGCCAACACCTCCCATTCCCTGGCCTTACTGCTATTCCCACTTTCCTGATGAGACTGGCTGAGCCACAGTCTCTAAGAAACAACGTAAGATTGCTCTTTGATCCTCTCCCATCTTCCCACCCTTCAAAGCATCTCCCACCTCCCCAGGAATGAGGAAGAGCAATGCCTTTCCCCCAGCCCTGAGATCCTCTGTCTTCTTCTCATTAGCCCCAGAGACATTTCTCCTCCCTTCTCCCTACCTGGTCACTCTCCTTCCATCTTCCTATGGGGTGCCCTACACAGGTCCTGGCCAGGCTTTGGCCCACTTCCTCCCCTTAGCTCTGCTGAATCCCTGGCTACAGGGCTGCTCCCACCCTGGATTCTGCCCCCAGCACGTGAACCTCCAGTCTGGCTCTCTCCTGCTGAGTGTGATTTCTAGGGGCTGGTGGCTCTAGGGTGAAACAACCTCTGGGCTCAGATTCGGGGTTCTGTAAAAATAGGCTGATATCACAGATCCTCCAAGGGCTTTCAGGTCTCCCCAGATCCCCACCCCCACCTAGCTCCTCCACAACTTCTTTCAGTGTACTTTCCCCTCTGAGGGTCCTGGTTTACATGAACTCGGTTCTTTTTATCCCTTGTCCTCCCCAGAATTCCTTCTTCTTATTCCCTTTGTCTAAGCCTCTCTGTTTCCCTTAGACTCCTAAAGGTAGCTCCCAGCCATCCAGACAGCAGTAGTAGAGATACCGTGAGTGCTCCTCACCAAGGGATGTCGAGGAGTAGAAATAGGAGGAGCCCCAGAGGTTCTGCTTGGGGGCGGAACACAACCTTGGGTCACTCCATTTGCCAGACCAGAAACCCCAAACCCCTCCTTCTTAGAATTGTGGTGAGGGGCAGAAGGAGGGCACATCCTAAAGTCAGCTGCTAGAAATTGGTGCTAAAATACTCATGTGCAAAAGGGCCAGGGGAAGAAGCCTGGTGGGGGCGGGCAGCAAGGATGGAAGCATGATTTTATGAAGTGTGAGGCCGAGGTAACTGGGAGATTATCTGCTAAGGGAAGATTCCAGAGTATCTAATGGGGTCATCTTTAACCAGATTTTCCAGGCCCTCTCACCATCTGCTGTGGCTTCTCCTCCATTCCCTAATCTGGGCCCAGGGCCAAAGCAGGATGAGGTCACTTGTCCAGTGCACCCAAAAAGTAACAGCAAAGTTCTCAGAGTAAACACTTCTCAGCTGCAGTCTCTCTTTCCTGCTAATTTTATCCAGGAGCCTCAAACAGACATTGTGGTGAGGAAGGACACAGGTCTGCGGGGCGATACTCAGGTTCAGCTTTTTTGTCTTTGTCTGAGTGAACCTGGACAAGTCACTATCTTCTCTAAGCCTCAGTTTTCTCAATTTTATTATTGTGCCTAATAATACCCATTCTCACAACCAGAGGAGAAGATAACCAGGCAAAATGCTTCGTACGCTGTGGGGCACATGGTAGATGGTAATACGTGGTCACGACTGCATTTTGGGACCATGCGTAATCACCTGGAAGACCTCACAGATGACATTTTGCAAACTGCTGTTTTAGGGAAGAAGGTAAAAAGCTGCAAAGACAGAGGATGGTTTTGGGGTTCTTTTTGGGTTCACTGTGTTTAAGGAGCTTAGATTTGTTACAAAGTAGTGATCACTTAGATAGTGGGTCTAGGTTGTGGCTGAGCAGCCCTCAGTCACTTTTTCTGTTCGCTATTTTTTATTTGTCTGCCCCTTAAACTTTCACACGCCTATCCTCCCCAGATGGCACTCTGGGACCTGAATCCCAGGTGAGACAGGAATTTTTCAAATGTGCTAAGTATCCCCACTCTCCACCAACTTCCTCGACTGAACCCATGTGGCATCGCTTCTCCTCTAATTGTGCACAAATATCTGCCCACTGACATACTCTCTTATGCCCATGCTAGATTCGACACCCAGGTTGTTCTCCAGACCATGGAAGCTGATGTCGTACCTAGGTCAGGTGGAGTCTTACCTGCACCGTCTGCCGGTCAGGAATGCCACTGTACACAGAGATCTGGGGCCCCGTGGGGCGGCCACTTCCACCACCGCTGCTGCTACTGACCCCGCTGGTACTGCTGGCGACACTGGCGCTGCTAGATGTGTGGGGGGCTGGCAGCTCATTCTCCATGGCCTACAGGATGGCACCGTCAGGGTGCTCGGGTGGCAGAAGAGCAGGCAGGTGCTGGGAGGAAAGAGGCAGAAGTGAAATGTCAAACAAACGCTGACTAGAGAAGCACACATAGGCATCGCCCTCCACCAGCCTGAACGGAGGTCTCGAGCTGCACCTGCCACCAGGAGGGCAGGGCCAGGGTTGGCTTGCTAGGCGAGGCCTGAATCTAAGTCTGTTACTCTGCTAGAGGCAGTAAAAAAATCAGGCACCGAGGCGGATTTCCTATGACCGGCTTCCTAGGAGGAATCTTAGGGGTCATCCTCACACCATCAACTTTTTCATCACTAGAGTGGAGAAACTCAACACTAGACACATTATTATTTGTCCATATTTATACAGGCAGTTCTTGAAAGAAATGGAATTAAAAATCTAGAGCGAACAGAATGAGAGACAGAGGCAATGCAATAAACTGAAGTGTTTATTTTGTTTCGTTTCCAAAGCTGGAAGAGCTTCGAGTATGTCTGGAGTCCCTGTTTCCTCCGTGGAGTACTCACTGAGTGCTCTCTGATCTAATGTTTCATTGAGCAATTTGGTTAAAATCATAGGTTTTGGAATCAGAAAGACTTGGGTCTGAGTCCTGGCTCTGCCACTTACCAGCTGGGTAAAACTGGCGAGTCACACTTCTCTAACCTTCTGTCTTAATTTGGCAGACATATGAGTGTATGGATTGTTGGGAGGATCCAGTGAATTAATGACACAAAGTGCTTAGTGGGGTGTCAAGCACATACCAAGTGTTCCTTATGCACTGGCTGTTGTTGTGGTTGTTAAAGCTGCCCCCAGCCAAGTTCCCATTGTTGGTCCCAATAGATCAACCCTCTTCCAGGTGGAACTGGTGAGCCTCTTGGAGCTTTTATCCCAGTCGCTAAGGGACACCAAAAATGCCTTCAGGGGCCATCTTATGATCAGGATTCAGAGTTGGAAGATGCACACCCCCTCAGGGAAATGTGTTCCGGAGTGGAGAAGGGCTGGGATGGAAGGAAGGCAAAGGCATACCTAGGTCTGAGGTCAAGTGCCTCTCTTTTTCCTTCATGCTATTCCTAAAATCCTAATTTTCATATATATAAGTGTTTCCTTCTACCCATGTCTTTCTCCATCTAAAAACAGCACTTCTGTTGACGGATATTGACTGGATAAAGAAGCTGTGGTATATATATACAATGGAACACTAATCAGTCATAAAAAAGAATGAAATAACACCACTTGCAGCAACATTCTTGGACCTAGAGATTATCATACGATGTAGGCCAGAAAGAGAAATACCACATAACACTTATATGTAGAATCTTTTAAAAATGACACAAATGAACTTACTTACAAAACAGAAACAGACTCATAGACACAGGAAACAAACTTATGGTTACCTGAGCAGAAGGAGAGGGTGGAGGGATAAATTAGGAGTTTGGGATTTGTAGATACTAACTACTATATATAAAATAGATAAACAACAAGGTCCTACTGTGTAGCACAGGGAACTATATTCAATATCTTGTAATAGCCTATAATGAAAAGGAATTTGAAAAGGAATATATATATGTATAATTGAAGTTATGCTGTACACCAGAAATGAACATGACATTGTCAACTGACTATACTTCAATTAAAAAAAGAGAAAAACAGCACTTCTTTGTTATTCCATCACAGACATTCAATTCTCTGCTTGCAGATTATACCACATTAATAAATGAAGAAAATAATATGATTTTCTCACACTATTGAGAGAACTGGTGAGTGCAAAGAAGTAAAATAGTCATTAATGTCCTGACATCCTCTTCCCAACGCTGCTCAGTTTGGAGGCTGTCAGCGTTTCTCAGGATGCCTTCTTCAGACTGGGGTAGGGGCGGTTTCACTAGGGGCTGCAAAAAGTGTCCATGCAGGCTCAAACACAGAGTGTTGGGGGTGAGGAAATCCAGGCTCCTCCCAATGGGCAGGGAGCAAGTTGAAGTCTAGAGGCCTATGGCATGTGAGGCAGTGTAACAGCCTGCAGACGGCACTCATGATCTGGGGTCCTTAAACAGGGATTTCCTTTAATGCTTGTATATCTGCTTTTACTGTCACTGGGCAAGGCCCTCTTCCATGAATTCCCTTTGTCCTGAACTGCACTCAGTCCTGGATCTCACTTTGACCACCTGCTTGTTAAGGATGCTTATGTTGTCATGAAGGTGCAGGTGGATGAAAGAGCAAAGTCAAGTATTTCCTATGCTCTGCTCAGTTGACATCTACCTTATCTCACGTTCCATGGAAGAAAGAGTAGCCTGGATAGAAAGCAGTAGACGGCATAATTCTGATCTTGCAGAAACCGACAAATTAGTTGAAGAGACAAGCTGAAATTTTAAGGCTCACCAAGCTACAAATCAGTAAATGAGAGTTATGTTCAAACTTGGAATATCCCAGAGAATCCCAGAGTCTTCTCTGTGTTCAATGCCCATCTCCCTTTCCCAAATTATTGATCAGAACTGGGCTTCAGTTCTTGCTTTGCATCCCGCCCTAGGAAATCTCCATGGAAGCATATATAAACATAAACAGTAAGATGGGAAAACAGGGCAGCAGCCACAGCAAATTAAGGAGAGGGAGTCTACATCCTGGATGGTCAAGTCTCAGTTCAATTTTCTTTTTCTTTTGCAGCAGCTGAGCCGATCTTGGGCACAGTGTATACTCAATCTCTGGTGAGAAATAAAGCAAGACAAAATTCTAAGGAGAGCATGGCACCCCTTTATGGAAAATCAGCAACTGCTCTCCATGCCCGGGAGGGAGACTGACCTGAGCAACATGGGGACACAGGCACAACGCATTTCCCCAAATCTCTTGCCCATCTACCCCCTTCCTTCTGCTGCCACACATGCCTTTCCTTTCTCTCTTCATCCCATTGTTCTTGGCTTTTGCACCCTTCCTTCGTCTTTCCCTTTTCTGTCTCTCGTTAAGCTTTGCCCATTCTTGCTGCCTGCACATCCCTATCCTCCCACACCCGAGCCCACGCCTGCCCTCCCTCTCAGCTGGCTAGCTCTCTCTGTTCCAGCCCCCGCTTTTGGTAGCTACAGCTGTCTCTCCAGTGCACGCACTCTCCCTCTTCCCTCTTTCCCCTTCTTCTCTGGCTCCCTATCAGTCACTCCTGCAAAGCAAAGAGGAGGGAAGGACAGACTCTGCCTAAGAGATGAGGGAACACTTCAAAGGAGATGAAACATTGAGTTGACTGAACTCACGCTTTCTCTGCTTTCACAGCATAAAGCTGCCCTGTCCCATCTTCTACGTCTTGTCAATCACTTCTAGAAGTTCCCCCAATCAACACATTCCTAGTTTTCCCACAATCTGAACATCTATTGAGCATCTACTGCATGCGGGGTATTCTCGCTAAGAACTGACAATAGAAAAGAAGTAGAAGACATGGATCCTCATTTGAAGATTTTGAAACCTCTTGCCCCAGAAAAAAAAAAATGCAGACCTATGAAAGATAGGCTTACAATTGTAGGGGTAAGCGAATGCTTTGAAGCCTGTCCATTAACACTGGATTCTGTTTCTTAGTAGGTAGGGGGCATGAAGTACAAATTTAAAGATAAGATGACAACCTACGGAATGGGAGAAAATATTTGCAAATGATGCGACTGACAAGAGCTTAATTTCCAGAGTATATACACAGCTCATACAACTTAGTACCAAAAAACAAACAACCCAATCCAAAAACAAGCAATTCTCCAATTAAGACATACAAATGGCCAATAGGGATATGAAAAAATGCTCAATATTGTTTATTACCAGAGAAATGCAAATCAAAACTCCAATGAGGTACCACCTCATACCAGTCAGAATGGCCATCACTCAAAAGTCCACAAACAATAAATGCTGGAGAGGGTGTGGAGAAAAGGGAACCCTCCTACACTGTTGGTGGGAATGTAGTTTGGTGCAGCCATTATGGAAAACAGAATGGAGATTCCTCAAAAAACTGAAAATAGATGTACCATATGATCCAGCAATCCCACTCCTGGGCATATAACCAGAGGCAACTCTAATTCAAAAAGACACATGCACCCCAATGTTCACAGCAGCACTATTTACAATAGCCAAGACATGGAAGCAACCTAAATGTCCATTGACAGATGACTGGATAAAGAAGTTGTGGGATATCTAGCTAGCTAGCTAGCTATCTCTAACCACAACTTCTTTATATATACATATATACACAATGGAACACTACTTAGCCAAAAAAAGAATAAAATAATGCCATTTGCAACAACATGGTTAGACCTAGAGATTGTTATTCTAAGTGAAGTAAGCCAGAAAGAGAAAGAAAAATACCACATGATAGCACTCATGTGGAATCTAAAAAAAAAAAAAAGAAAAAAAGAGGTCACTAATAAACTCATCTACAAAACAGAAACAGACATAGTAAACAATCTTATGGTCTTACGGGAAAGGGATAGATTTGGAAGTTTGAGATATGCAAATGTTAGCCACTAAACATAAAATAGATTTAAAAATTTTCTGCTGTATAGAACAGGGAACTATATTCAATATCTTGTAATAAACTTTAATGAAAAAGAATATGAAAATGAATACATGTGTGTACATGCATGACTGGGACATTGTGCTGTACACCAGAAACTGACACATTTTAGCTGACTGTACTTCAATTAGAAAAAAACATAAAAATAACATTGCCGACCATATGCCGAGTTCCAAATGAGAAGCTGAGACCACATTTGCTGGCATTCAGGAGAGTGATACGTTAGAAATGTGTGCACCGTGATAGGTAGGAAGTGGAGGCACGCTACTCCAGGCTTTGTGAATGTCAAGACTGACGCTACTGCTGAATAGTCACTGCCACAAGGTGAGGAGATCACCTTGCCTCTAGACATTCTCCGGTGGCTCAGTTTTCCCAGGAGAGTCAATGTGCTAAAGGAGAAAGGGCATGGACTTAGGAGTCAGGTAGTCCTAGTTTTGGGAAGGCCAGCTCTACTGTCACTAGTTGCATGGCCTTGGGCAACGCAGTTTAGCTCTCTGAGTCTTAGTTTCCTAATGTG